GCCGCTGTGATACGATTGTAGTATAATAATAATAATAATAATAATAATAATAATAATAATAATAATAATAATAATAATAATAGCAACAACAACAACAACAACAACAACAACAATATAAAGGTTGTATATATTAACTATATTGTATATTTGCTAGGCAACTCAAGACAATTCCTTTTCACTCAATGAGGCCCAGGCAGGCCAAAAGGTTGTATAACCATGAGCTACAGCTATCATATCTTCATATCAAAAGAAAACAGTTGCAAGAATTGTGTAAATTTTGTCCCAAATCTCTAGATCCCACATAAAGAGGGGGGGAAACATCACACATCTCTGCAAGAGAAGCATTAGGAGCATAGTGGAGAGAATTCTAAATGAAAACATATTGGAAGTATGCTAGCATGACAAAATAGAACATGAATTGGCGAGAAAGCTGTGTACAGTCAGCAGCCATGAGAATACAAATCAGTGTGAGAACTACTTCCTTGGGTCTTACAGGGTCATAACTGTGAAAAATGCTTGAATTAATAAATGCATACAAGCTCAGAGCAGGTCATTCTGTTGCTTTGCAAAAGCAGAACTTGAACTTCTCCAGGTGTTCCTGTGCCAAAAAGGGATGTTTTTTGTCCTCTTCCTGGGCTTCCCATAAGGACAAAGAGATCAGTATTTAATCCAAAGCATTTTCTTGCCCCAGTTAGTAAAGTAGCATTCCAGTTTTTAAAAGGCACATTTGAAAATTTTAATCATTCAGTTGAAACTGCCACAACATATGGAGCTTTTCTATGTAAATTTCTCTACTGTATAAAAATTGTACTATCAATTCCCAAAAGCTACTTTTCATAGAAATTCCAACTACATTTTCTAATGCCAATTTCTAGCGCAAGATTCTGTGAAGTTCTTAAAAATAATTCTGTCGAAAACAGAAAAATACATTTTTTTTAGAAACAAATGTTCCATTTTCACATGAAAGTATCTTGAAACTTAAAGAAGTGGCACACTTTTTATATAACTGTTGCCATATATGAAACTTCATTATGTGGATTCAGAAGTAGGTTTTGACAGAATTGCAGGTACAAACACAGATAGCATTAACAGATGTGATAAATGAGAACACACCTGATAACTGGGAAGAAAAACTCCCTCAAGGAATTAACACTCTTATTTTTAAGAAACAAAATACAAAGTAAGACTGTGTATAGCTGTCACCTTTCTCAGTCTATAACTAGCAATTTGTTTTAGAGTAGATTCTGGTAAAGTATCTTCATTTGGAAGTTATTTTATTCTATTCAGCAGTGGGTTTTACATTTTGTTACCACTGGTTCACCCCGTGTGCACCTGCCCAATTCATGCGGGTATGCTTTGCAGGTGCACATACCCCTTCCACACATGTGCCCAGCCTTCCGCATATGCACTTTGCTCGTGCGCATCTTCCAAGCATGTGCCCAGCCTCAAAAATGTGCCTAAATAGGATGGCATAGATCTGGGGCAGATGGGCAGACCTAACTGCGATTTCTGCTACCGGTTCGGGCAAACCAGTTGGAACCAGCTGAATACCACCTCTGATTCTATCGTGTACTGGTTTTAACCTGGACTCAGTTCTGGACTCTCACCACATCTGGAATTAAAGGTATCACATAGTGCCCCCCTAAGTTAACCAGAATACAATATCCATCAAAACCTGCAGTACAAATTTATATTCATAAAAGCTTGATCCTCAAATAGGAGATTAAATAAATAAATAAATAAAACATCTATGTAAAGCTTCTCTCATTATTGCCAATATATGAGAATTAAAGGTACATTATTTAAAACACTGAAGCCCTATTTGGTGAGGGGGAGGGGAAGAATCTTTTGGCACAAATTATAAAATCACCTGAAATTATTGGGCCCTTGTCTGGAAAAAAAAGTTTACAAAAGTTTAGCTTCACATTCCAAAACATTCTGCTGATACATTTATTCTATCTATCTTCTGTTTTTTTCTAACTTGTGCCCCATAAAATGTGTTGCTTGCACAATTTAAAGGATCTTCTCCCCTTGTTATTTTAATATATTGGTAAAGAGGGAATTGAACATTGCAATACATTTCAGATGGGGCACACAAAATCTCCATGCCTGATTACTCACATCTCAATAGACTGAAACGAGTTCAGGGGGAAATGCTATAAAGAGCCAAAATTGTTATTTCACTTTCCAAATTTAAAAAGGGAAGGTGAGAATTACTTGAAAGGCAGGTTACAGACCAAATTAAGGACTTTGATTTGGATATGCTAAATATAATCCAAGCATTTCAACCAAGCAATTTCTAACATCACCCTTCTCTCTCTTTCTTGTGTGGAAAGTCCAGTGGTATTTACTCCTAAGTGAGTAGGCATACAAGTAGAACGTGATTTAACTGGAAAGTCCTCTGGCTTGACTGGTTTGTAGTTCAGACCATCCTAAATCCGGATGAACGAAATAAGAGTCTACACTACATCTTCCTTAGCTTACTGTGTTAAACAATAAAAGACTAATTTTAATCAGATTACAAAACAAATGATATTAGCTTTCATCAAGAATGCATCCATGATAAAATTTAAAACTAGCTACAAAATCATTTAGCAGGGGGGAAAACCAGCTCTATAATTAGCTGCTTTTTTTTCCTTGTTCAAAAAATGTAAATGTTTTTACCGAGCAACTTTGCATTGGGCAAACAGTATTTTTTTAAAAGAAAGCATTTCCACAAATTGGATCATCTCAAAATCATAAACTGAGGATAAGAATTACACATCTTTCAATACTTAAAAAGAAAATGCACATATCAACACGTACAGATTGCCAAGGCACTGTTTGATACTGCCCCCTTTTGCCAAGTGAAGCCAACAGCCGTGGCTTACATTCAAACTTTTCCTAGTTGTGCAAATCCCCAGAAACATATTGAACAAAATGTGCAGCCATGACAAAACTGCAGAAAAGGATAATAAACCACAGTCTGAGAATCTAAGACTCACAGTTAAACCTGGATATGAAAGATTTTTATCCTTTGTCGTTGTAGTTCCGGATGAAATCCCTTCTCCCTGCCCACTTTGCAATCAAAGATTCCACTGTAATTAGAACATTATGAAAGAGTTTAATTATTGTGTTTAGCCAATCCTCACCACTGAAACACCAAGGGGGGGGGATTTTCCCCCCCAGATACTTCACTATATGGTATTTGGCTATGGCAATTGATGCATGTATGCCTGGAATGAAGTCCCACGGACTATAATGACAGTTATTTCTGTACTAGGTGGTACTTTCAGCTCTAAACTTGTCTCACTTCAATGTCTTGAACAGCATTAGAATTCACCCAGACCTCTATTTCTTCCACAGTCATACTAAGTTCATTGTCGCCACTGCTCAAACAAATGTATTTTCTCCAGGTTCAAACAGTTACATCAGACAAAAGATATGACCTGCGGCCAACCAGATAACACTGAATTTTATTCTCAGCATTTGATGGTATGAGCCAATGTGGCTGAGGTTATAAGTCCTCCATCCTTACTTACATTTAAAGAGGGCAATAAATACCATACACAAACCTATGATGAACAATCCCTTTAGCACCCTTTATCTGTCAAAGCACTTTTTACCAGATTATGAGTCTGTAGCACTCATGTATTATTAATTGTAAACTGAGCAAAAGTAATTTTACTGAATGCCCTGAAAACTATAGGAACCTTCCTGAAAGACCATCCCAGTACAATCCCAGTCATTTGAACAGATTAACATTCAACTAATCAACCTTGTACCTCGTATAGAACTGTCTGCAGATATGTTATGAACATGAGGCCAAAGTTGCCCTAAGACCCAAAGAATCCTCATTTCCTAGTAGAATGTTTGCAAACCTGTTTCAACAGCCATAAAATCCAAATTACAGTGTTTCTCAATCTCAGCAACTCTAAGAAATCTGGATTTCAACTCCCAGAATTTCCCAGCCAAAAAAATAATACGTCCAGTAAGGAGACTCGGAGGTCTCAGGCACTACACGGTATTCCAAAAAGCAAAACTGTCTTCCTTCAAAATCAAAAGTAAGATTGAGGAAAAAATATTGTCAGATGTTGTCTAAAGTTGTAACTGAAGTTCAAACACAAAGATGCACATACACTTCCGTTAAAAGATGCTAGTGCTCCGAAATGATGTTTGCAGTGATTATGACAAAATAAACATTATACTCACACAACCTTTGCATTGTTTTAAGTAATAGGGATCGAGAGGTATGTAACTTTAGGGAAAAAAAACACAAAAGACTAAAGAAAACATTAAGAAAAAAGCTTTTAAATCAAGCTGTAAACTAGTCAATCATTCATCTTGCTTCATAAAATATATAAACTTGTAATGCTGTGGCAATATATACAAGAAGACAAATCACTGTTGGCTAAAAAAATCAAATTGAAAAAAATCAAGCTTACAATCTTGTCAGAAGCTGCAGCCTTTATTCCACGTAAATGCCTTGCTTGAGGCATAGTAGCACTGCCACTAGGGGTATTTTATGTTTGGGGCTAAGAGCTCCCCTTTAAAAAGCAACATTCCTTAAAGCAACTCTTAACCCAGAATGTCTAAACCAATAGACATCATCTTCCAATCCATTTCCTACTTCTTGTTCAAAATCTTGTGTTAGAATTCCTCAAGACACAGTCAAAGCATCCTAGCAGGAATGAAAGATCAACCACGGTCTAAGATACCTGGGATACTCTCACACGGGCTCTGCTGTTCTCTCTTCCAACAACACACTGCAAAGCTGAACACACAATTCTCCCTGAACCAGTTTATTCTTCAGAGACCATTAATCATAAAGCACAATCTGAAAGGGGAGTGAAAAAGTTATCATCAGAGGAGTCAGTAAGAAAAACAAATGATTCAAGTGGATGCTGCATCTATTTTAAAACTCTGAGTAATTTGTTTGAGCATTAGCAGAATTCACTTCCCACCCCACGCTTCCAGTGTGTAACTGCAATACTTTTTCTTGATTGCCTTATTGAGCTGACATAAGCAGCAAGTTAACTCTTCCAGGAACAGTGTGGATGAACAAAGTCTCATCTAGCTATCAAGAGCCTCCCTTTCCAATATCTCTCTCCCTATTCAACAGCCAAAGTTTTCAGAAGAGGTGGTGGGGAAGGGCTCAGCTAGGTTAGCCCCTGGCTCAAACTTCAGAGGGCTTTTCCAAGTTGTCTTTCCTGCCATCTATTACAAGAAAACAGGGGGATAGTTTGGGAGGGTGGAAAGGAGGGAGGGATTTTTACCTTCCAATCAGAAACAGAAAAAGGAGGTTAATTTGGAACAGAGATTCAGTTTTGCCACTCCTGGTTGGGGTGGCGGGGAAGTAAAATAAAATGAAGGGCTGGGACAGAGACAAAAGCAGTGAAATGTTAAGAATTTAAAAAGCAGGATTTGTGTTGCCTCAACTTCCCACTTTCTCTCTCACCACTCCAATCTTGGGGGGAGGGGGCAATTTATTTTTCTGCAAGACTGGAAAGCTCTTAACTGTTTGCCCACCACCAGGCATGGTGTGTGACATACCAACACAGAAGTGGAACTTGTTCAGGAATCAAGACCAACAGATTTCTTAGGTGAGGAGTTAGGGAAATAAAAAGGCACTTGGAGCATTGGCGGAGGATATTATGTCTGTGTGGAGTGGAAGAAAAGGGTGGTGCAGGTCTTAAATGTATTAGACTCCATTTGAGGTTTTTTCTTATCCCCCCTCCTTTTTCCAATTCCCCTTCCTCTTATTTCCAACAATGCATGAAACCAGAGAACCTTGCAAGCTTCTCTGCTTCCCTCTGCTTTTGATCTTCATCAGGACGTGAGCAGAAAGTTAATGGGGCCAGCCCTACCACAAAGGCAAATTACCAACCGAACACAACACAACGAAAAACAAAACAAACAAAAAAGCAAAGAAATATTATCTGCTGCTTCAGAGCCTACTTTTCTCCCCCAAAGGCATTCCTCTCTCTGCTCAGCATCCCCTCAAGCTTTCTGACTGTTTGCACCCCCCCCACCCCCCAATTCACGGACGGCGAGAGAATCTTGCGATTTAAACGGAATTAGGCAGCGCCAACCAAGCTGCCGGCGATTCGGGAGTCTGAACGGCTGCAGGATCACCATCGCTAGCTTTTTTTCCCCCCCTAAACCCGAAGAGGAATTTGCCGCGGGGGCCCGTGGCTCAGATGCTTTGCACCCACCCACCCACCCCTGGATCACAACGCATCCCAGGAACCATTCAGCAAAAAGAAAAAAGAAAAAAAAAGAAAAAAGGACCACCACCACCCTAATACATCCGTCCCTTCCTCCTCTTCCGACGCCTTTCTTTGTTCCCAACGATCCAACCAAAGAAAAGGCGATACAACAACCTCCAGCAAAGAAAGAACAAAAAACGGCAGCCACCTTTTTCGCCCAAGTCGCGCTTCAGACGAAAATTCTTTCCGCCTCCATCCTTTTCCAGCGACAGACTACGCTTCCCTTCCTCCTCCTCCCCCTCCTCTCCTCCCCCCCGCAAACTCAAGTTCCTAAACTTTACAACTTCCTTCTCCACTTTGGGGGGTGGGGGAGAAAGAGAGAAGGCGAGGAAAAGAGAGAGCTCCCCCCCACACACACACCTCCTCGCAGACAAGCGTGGATGGCGTGCAACTCACCCTTTGTGAGGTCTCCCGGGCGACGGCGCACAACTGTTCACCCGCACATATTTGAAACGAAAGCCTCTCAAACCAGAAGGCGAAGAAGAAGCGAAGGAAAAGCAAGAAAGTCCCGGCAAAGCGGCGGCGATCGCGTGCTCCTAGTAGCCACCTTGACGTTTCCTCCGATGCGAAAAACCGGAGCGAGCGGGCAATATCCCACCGCCAACTGCAGTCGCCCGGGAGTCGCCGTCCTCCTCCAGCCCTCCTCCTCCTCCTCTCGCTCGCTCGCTCCCTCCTTTTCCAGCCAGAAGTCGTCCACTCTCTCCTATCAGAATCGCTTCAACCTTCTCCATCAGGAGGGGAGGAGACGGAGAAGGAAGGAGGGAGCAGCCAGCCAGCCAGCCAGCGAAGGGGGCTGCCTGCCCCACACGGGCTGATGTCAACTCGCCTCTTTTGAGAGTTCGCGCGGCACTTAGTCGCCCGCAACTCCCTTGCAGTTAAGGCGAACCTGGGCGACTGCGAAAGCGTAGCGATTCCCAACGCCGGCTTAAGAGGCAGCCAACAAACTAACTCCCTGTTTGGAGACTTGCACGCATCTATAGATAGAGAGGGATAAAAATAAATATAAACTCTTGAGCTTACCTCACCGCTTTATTCTCAACGGAGATTCTCCTATCGTTTGCCTTTTCCCGCTTCTGCGCCTTGGAACGATTATTTCGTCTACATGGAATTAACGTTGCCAGCTTTCTTTTTCTTTTCCATCCAGGAATGATGGTGCGGGCCGATTTATCGAAGGGTGCGTGCCCGAGGGCAGAAAGAGAGGGAGAAGCCGCCGGGGTGTTTGGTTCCCACTCCTCGAGCATGCGTGTGCAACATGGATGGCGAAGGGCAAAGCTTAAATACCTTTAACTGCCGGTGCAAAACGGCGTTTAAAACCGTTTTGTGGCCGCTTACCTCTACCTGTCCCAGCAGAGAAGGAAAAATTTCCACCTGGCGGGACGTCCAAAGCGGGCTTTTTTTTTTCCTCCTGGGCCCCCCCCTCCCTCTGCAACGTCGTTCTTCCCGCGGGGGGGGGAGTTAGCCCCAAATCTTTTTTTAAAGCCCTCAAAGCATGCTTTCTTTTCAGCCAGCGTGGGGACTTCCTTGTTTACCTCGTTATTACATTTTTTTAAAAAAAATAGTTTTACTGAACGTTTTTAATTAGTGGTTTTCTCTTCGCTTTCCGGCGACACTTCGTGTGAGATGGGCGGCCCTATAAATCTGACAAATCAATAAATGCCTAAAAACCCATCTCCTCAATTTCCAGGGAGTGCAAACGTGACCTGGGCCAAAGGTGTGAAAAAGCGGAGGCTCTGCTGGTGCACTAAGAGAACAGGTGCTTGCAGAAAGTTAGACAAACTCCCTTTCCTTGCTTCTTCGGTGGCAAGCGCTGGTGGGCACTGTGGCAATCCGTTTGCAAGGGGAAAAAGCCAAAGATTTCAGGCTGCAGGAGAACACTGAACCGTAGAGGGCAGTAAGGGACCGATGGAATATAAAGAGGAGAAAGACTACTTTAAAAGAAACTTTAAGAGGAAATGCTGATGAAGAAAGTGTAAATCAAGCAAAAGGGCTTGATGTTGAAAGACATATTGGCAGCAAGACAGGCCTTCAAACGGGATTTTCAAACAGTTGTTGTGGGGAAACTTGGAGGACGAGGAAGGAATATTAGATGTGTTCACTCCCTTGAGTTAGTAATGATAATAAAAGCAGGATAAAAATTTTTTGGCTCTTGGCATCGCACCAGGAGGTATTTGGCAAAGCAGCAAATGGACTATCTGGTCCCTAGAACTACTACCATTCCATGCAGACTTCCATACTGACAAACATCCTAATCATATCTACTTGCAGGCAAATCCAGTTGTGTTCAGGGAAGCAGCTCTTGGCAATCCCTTTCTAACTTGGCAAAAAAATTCCTCATTTCAGATTTTCATAAAAATTCAAGCAATTTTAGTTGCCTTACTAAAAATCAGGAATGAAGTTGTAATTCAGAGAGATAATTTCCTGCAGATTTGAAGGTCGAGGGCTAACCAGCATGGTACAAACCACACAGGAAATTTTAAAAATGCACTTTGCTCCATGAAGTAAACACCTTGTGCGTTCAAATGTTGATAGGATTTGCAGTGGGTCGTGAGCCAGCTAAAGCAAAACCAGACAATTTAGATTGGTCTGGGGATCCACTGAGGCAAATCCAAATGCATTTAAAAAGGAGATAGGGATCACGGATGCTACCTTTCACCACCACCAGTGGTGAGATTCAGCCAGTTCATATTGGTTTGGACGAAGTGGTTGTTAAATTACCCATACCCTGCTATCAGAGTGGATCCTGGGCGCTGTGCTGTGCTCCAATGGAGAAATGGGCAATGGAGCAGCCAGCACAAGGGAAGGAGAAGGCTACTTTCCCTCCTCCTTCCCTCATGCCTGCCGCTCGGTTGCCCATTTCTCCAGCGCAGCCCCAAGGATCCACTTTGATGTGGGGGGAGATAATTTAAGAACCAGTTCGCCCAGGGTCAATTTGGCCATCATGGGAGGCTTGTCTTGCATGTGCAGTGGAACTGGAGGATGAGGATGGGCCACGCCTCCCACAACAGCCAACCTGACCCTGGGCGAACTGGTTGTTAAATTATTTGAATCCCACCACTGACCACCATCCTGTCTTGCACCCACCCAATGACTTTGCCCTACGTCTCTACACCAAGTACTCTGATTCCTCTACCACTTTTCAGTTGCCTCATGGGCCCCTTGCTGCTCTGCTGCCATTCATGGCCTTTTCTCCCTACAGTTTGTCAATCCGAAACACCATTTCCAGAAAATGCTATCCCGGGTCTTTACACAGACCAAACACAGATGCAATCCTGCCTGATCCCTGCACAAAACATTTGGCACACCTTCAATTGCTGTACAAGTAGTTTGTATTGAAAGAGTATCCATACTTTTAAAAAAAGAAAAACCTAAAAGTCAACAATAGAAGTTTAGGTAGACCTTGATTAACAACTGTAATCAGGAACTGCAACTCTGTCCCTGAGCAATACAATGGTAAAGTGCAATGACACGTGATCACATCAATTTAGACTTAGACTTAGAATAAATTTATTACCACTTTGAATGTACACTAATTGGCATACATTAAAATAAAATTATGTTGCATACAGCTTTCAAAGGGCCTCTACCTCTAATATAAATATAAACATTACAAGATTATAAATAAATACAAAATTATGCACGTACTCACATATATGGCACAGAGAAACAACACAATCTAGTTCAGATGTATAGATGTACACGGTAAGAAAAACAAATCTTGCGAGTTTCCCAGATGGATGGCATTACGAACAAAGCTGTTACAGAATCTGCTCACCCTGCTAGAAATACTTTGAAACCTCCTCCCAAAGGGGAGTAACAGAAACAGACTGTGGAGTGGGTTTGTGGGGTCTCTAACAATGCTTTGAGCTCTAAGCACATAGCGCTTATAAGCAGTATCCTGAATGACAGGAAGCGAGCTTCCTATAAGCTTCTCGGCTGTCCTTACCACTCTCTGAATGGACTTTCTATCTGAGGCAACTTACACCAACTTACAATAGTTAAGCAATTCCCACATGGTTAATAAGTATGATATCATACAATTGCCATTTGCAATCTCCTCCCAGCTCCTTCATTGACTTTGCTTGTTGGAAGCCAGCAGAGAAAGCTGCAAATGGCAATCACATAACTAGGCAATGCTGCAACAACTTTAAAGACTAGCAGAAGTCTCATTCAGAACTATAATAAAGGTAGTTCTCAACTTATGACTGCGACTAGCCCAAAACTTCTGTGAGACGTTTGTTAAGTGAGTTTTGCTCCATTTTATGACCTTTCCGGCCACAGTTGTTAAGTGAATCATTGTAGTTGTTAAGTTAGTAACATGGTTGTTCAGTGAATCCAGATTCCCCATTGACTTTGCTTTGTCAGAAGGTTGCAAAAGGGGATCACACGACTCCAGGACACTGCAACCATCATAAATATGAGTCAGTTGCTGAGCATCTGAATTTTGATCACACGACCCTGGGGATGCCCCAATGGTCGTAAGTGTGAAAAATGGTCATAAATTGCTTTTTTCATCGCCATTGTAACTTTGAACAATCAAAGTTGTAAGTCGAGGATTACCTGTAACTTTGAACAGTCATGGAATGAATGGCATTAACTGAGAACTGATACAAGGTTTATAAATGGGAGACCAGGAATTCTGCCCTCCCTCTAAAAGAACAAAACTCCCATAGACAAAAACAGGGCCAATATCTTAAGCACACAAACCCATTCAGAGTATGACAAGGTGTTCCTGATGCCAAGCCAGAAATCGTGCTTGATAAACTACCATATTTTGGGACTATAAGACACACCAGTGTATAAGACGCACCAAGATTTCGAAGAGGTAACAAAAAAAAGTTTGTGTCCTCCCTGGCCCCCAGCAGCACTCTCCAGGCTTCAGCAGGACTGGGGGGAGGCAAAAAACACCCTTGTTTTTGCGAAAAACAGGTGGAAAATGGGCCATTTTTGTAAAAGCAGAAGGTGGTGTTGCCTTCTCCCAGCCCTGCTGAAGCCTGCAGAGCGCTCCTGGGGGCTGGGGAAGGCAAAAATGCCTCCACTTTTGTGAAAAATGCCCCGTTTTTCACAAAAATGGGATCCGTGGGTGGGGAGACCAAAAATGGCTGTATTCAGTGTATAAGAAACGCACCAACAATTCCATGCTCTTTTAGGGGGGAAAATGGTGTGCCTTATACTCCCAAAAATATGGTAAATTGAGTGATTCACTTATCACACTGTGTCAAAAGCCTCACAAATCATATTTTGGCATGCTCTGTTGTGTTAAGCCAATCTCTGATTTTTAGATCAAAAGGAAGTTTCTTAATTAATTTTTCTTTACCTAACACAAAGGGGACTGCAAAATGAAAAGCCAGATTCTAAGATTTCGAAGCAGAAGAAACAATAGCATTTCTTTTCTTTTTTAAAATTCTTTTGGGATATAAAATATTCAGGTGATATGGAAGGTAGTTAAAAGAAAATATTAGACGGTATTTCATAGTTCATTTCTTGCCAAATTTTCCAGGGATAATAAAAG